CCATCCATCCATCCATCCATCCATCCATCCATTCAAGCACAAAAACGTATTTCTTCCTGGCCGAAGCCGTTTTCCTATAGGTATGCGAGAAGTACCTTTAATTTGGACGTAAATACAATAATTTTAACGTCCGCTTCCCAAATATCTGCTTACTATATTMAAATATATGGAACTAATCGATAATTGCCTCTCAACACACGACCCATTAAGGTATTGATCCCATAAACTTCTTTGTATCTGCAGTAGAAAAGTGTTCTCATGTTAGACCGACATTTTTGCTAATTTTATTTATTTATTCATTTATAATAACTTTACAGTATAGATTCAGAGTTTATAAGTAGTGTTTAAAAAACGAGTTTTTTGAACTGCTTAAAACACTCATGAACAATTTATAAGATTTTGGTTCAATTGAAGCCACCATACACGTCACCTGCATGGATTTTTATACTTCGATAGAGATTTGACGTCACGGGCATTCGCAACCAGATTCAATAGAAGCTCCCACACGTTGGATATTGCGTGCCAAGGCAAAGACAGGCACGTTAGTCAAAGATTTTTAGGTTTGACTATGACCTTGATGAGGCTCTAAGTCTTCATCTAAACTTGGATGTATACTTCATCCCTGATGAAGTCATCCTCATAGTATTCGAGTGGTCTTTATATAAAGACCACATGTGTCTTTATATAAAGACACATGTGTCTTTATATAAAATCACTTGAATACTAATAAAGAGGACTTTATCGGGTATAAAGGTCCATGCACGTGACGTGTATGGTGGCTCCAATTGGACCATAAGCTTATGAATTATTAATGAGTGTTTTAATTAAAATTAGAAAACATTAACAATGCATGAGGAAAACACAATAGAAATCATGACCATGAAGGAGGTTTTATATCTGATATAGATTCGTCTTCATTTGCATAAACTTTAACTTGGATTTTCTCTATCAAACTTGGTTCATTTCGTAAAGAATTCTGTACAATATGAGAACATACATCATGAGTTTTCTAAGCCGTTCAATAAACTCGCAGATCGTGTTTTATCGGGTCTAAAACCACTCGGCTACGCCTCGTGTTTTATACCGGATAAAACACTCTTGCTCGTTTATTAAACATTACTTAAAATGTTTAGTTCGCGTATATACCTTTTATTATTATTTTTGACACAGATCGCAAATGACTTATAAATTTCAATCTATCAAAATTGTAATTTTGATTTTTTTTTTTTAGAATTTCATAATGAATCGCCTAATGATRCTGGTATTTGCAGCCGTATTCCTCGCTCTGGCTTCTGCAGATGGTAATGACGGTGATGGTATTGCTTTAACATAAAACACAGTCAGTTGGCATACAATTTAAACGATTTGAAAACATTATATTAAAATAATCAATAATATATGAGAAGGAATTAAACTATCTATGCACTAGGCGCTAAATTCTAGTACCAACATCCTCATATCCAATTATCCGCATATTTACTTTATTTATTTGAACTTTCAATTTCAGAAGATGTCGACATAGCAAAGAGGGGTATTCCGTGCCTGTGTGTAAGTGACGGCCCAAGTACGAGAGGCAATAAATTGTCAGGAACAATCTGGATGAAAACCGGTGGCTATGGTGGCAACGGCTGCCCTAAAGGTTGGCATTTTTGCGGGAAAAGCCGTGGTTTGCTCTCCGATTGCTGCAAGCAGTGATTTTCTGTACTGATCCATTCTTATAAAACTAAGATTTCAGGTCAATCAATTGTAATGTTAGATTAGTGGGAAAATAACAATGAAATAAAAACTCCAATAAAACGTGGAGCATTAAACTGGAAGCGTTTTTGTTAATTCTTGTCAATAGTTGCTCGATGTTCATTGACATTTTGACCTGCTTGAATAGTTCAGAAACGTTAAACCCGCTAAGAAGAGCTGTCGAGATTGGCCAAAACAAAATATATTTCATATTTGTCGACTCGTTCTATTGTTTTGTTTATATGGTTTCTCGTTCTATTGTATTCATCCAATTGGGTTACAGCTGCGACCTTGCCCCAAAAGATTTGGGATGGTGGCGTGCAATGCACTGTGGTGGTTTTTATTTCCGTCCATGTGTCTTAAACATGCTAATGTACATTTCTCGACCTCATAGGTGTGGTATTTCGTTGACTCCCTATTGTTTTGGAGTTAGCCAAGACATAGGGCAATAAGTGAAAATAAAAATGAGACTACCACGCACAGAATCGCTTCACATCTCAGCTAACTTGAAAACAGTAGGCTGTCAAAGAATTACCATACCTAAGGACAAGAAATATACACTGATTTGGGTAAGGTACTTGTGCAGAAAAGCTCTAGTAATTCCACTTGCTGTTGCCGTTAATAACGTACATAACACAGGGATCCCGCTTGATGTCAAAGCAAACCTACTCGCAAATGCAGCTCTCAAATGCACAGAAAAATATCGCTTTAGTTTAAATTATAGACCAACAACAAACAAGAAAAAGTTTCATGTAGTCAAAGGTGGATCAAGAAGTGTTCTTCAAGAATTCAGGTGTGTTATTTTTAGCAAACAATACTATAATAATAATATTTTTTATGACAAGCATTCATCTTTTTTGACGAATCGACAAATGAAAGACTTTCTCCCAAAACTTTTAATATTTCTATAGATAATCTTAATTTATCTTAATACTGTAWGAAATATAACACGGAGAGAATATT